ATAGTGAGGGTGACAATGGACCGACCAGACCCGAGACCGGACGAGATAAACCTGGGACCCGATAGGTACGGGTATGGGTTCAACTTTTGGACCCGACGGGTTGGTTCCGGGTCCAAAATCTGGACCCAGGTCCAGCTGTACGCGACCCATATAGAAACTCATAAATGCACCAATCACCATGTTAATTTAATCATAAAAAACAATCAAAATCAAACCTCATGTTGAGGTTAGGTTTTCCTGCTGTTTAATAAGTATAGATTATACATCCAAAACTGGCCATACAAACTCAAATATGCACCGCTCACCGTATCAATTTAATTACAAAAATCAATCAAAATCAAACCTCATATTGAGCTTTGGTTTTCCTGCTCTTTAATTAGTGAAGAAGTAATGCAAAAATCAATCAAAATCAAGCCTCATTTGAGGTTAGGTTTTCCTGCTCTTTAATTAGTGAAGAAGTAAGATCCCTCTTAATCAAAGATTGGATCAATCCATATAGCACACAGATAAGGCTCCCTGGGCATAAAGACCATGGGAACACAACATTCAAACTTTTCTTCTATAGGCGTCACTGAGTACCTGTTAAAAGTAGCTGCTGAATGATCATCCATGTATCTGTATCTAATCACTTTACCAGTTTTAATGCATGAGCATTCTTGCTCAGATGTTGGAGAAGAAGAAGAAACAGGAAAACTAACTATCGGAGACTCCGAGCCGGTCAGCATCAAATTCGGTACAGGCTTCCATGGAAGAAACGGAATCCCGTTAGTTTCCATCATCTTACTGACACCGAGCAGGAGGATCACGATTTCTGTGCTGCGCCACTTTGTTAGAGACATGTAGATTTCTCCATTGCCGGCCTCGATGAGGTGTACCTCAGTGAAACATATTCTACCGGAGTTTATAAGAGAACGAGAAAAGAAGTGCTTCCATGTCACAAGGTTGACATTTAAGGCTCCAATGCTCAGGTCGGTGTCTGTGCAATAGACCCAACCATCCAGTCCGAACGCTGCGCCCTCTATCCGGCCCATACATATTCAGTTGGGGTAGAAATTTGAGGTCCATTCATTATCCCTGGGGGGGCAGATGGAGATCAGTGTCCTGAACCGCAGAGAGCGAAACAGGATCACAAGGCATTCAGAGGAGGTGGCCGGGCTCGATCGAACGGATGATTTAATATAGGGAGGTTCATCCTTTATTTAAAAAAAGGATTCAAGCAAAACATAGATGAGCCTTCAGAAAGAAGCAGCCAGCCTTGCCTCGAAGAGTGGCACGTCGCCCCATCGAGTGCAGAGAGATTCAGGACATAGGCCCGACCGCTGATCATGTCAAGCATGCGCCAGGACACATTGTCCTTGTCCCGGGTAGCGAGCATTGGCCATGGGAGGGTGCTTCACAAAGTTGCTGCATCCGAGCCTTGCCCAGTGCTTGCATACAGCTGCAGCTCGCACGGAGTTGGGCATGGTGAGCCGCTCTAAGATTAAGCGGAGAATATCGAATGGAATTTCAGACCACAAATTCTCCCCATCATCTCGAGCGCGGCCTTCGTTTTTGCTGATCCTGAGGCGCCTCAATCCATGTGAGCTTTCGGAAACTTCTTCTTCTTCTCTACTGCAACCTTTGCGCTTCCTTGAAGATGATTTTAATGGAAGCAAGAGTTTCATGGCCGAAAATAAAAAAGATGAAATCATAAGTAATGTTCTTCTTAGAGAAAAAACACGATTTTCAAAGGGAAAAAACAAGGAAAAGAAATAAAAATAGGAAAAGAAGAGAATTTACTGATTCAAAAACAATTAAAAAAATAAAGGAAGATAAGAGTCTTAAAGGTGCTCGTTTATTATTACAAGTCATCGAACCATTTAATTGTTCCCCCTCTTATAAGAAAGAAAGAGAATTTCCTATTTCTTATTTTGTGGTAAACACGATTAAAATTTTATCTCGATCTGATTAATAAATAAAGACCTAAGGTTTTACAAAATAACATAAAAATTATAGATTTTATTTCTTTACTTTAAACATATTTTTCTAAGTCAAATAAATAGTAAAAACATATGCCTTTCTTAAAAACCATCCCCGTTTTCTTTCTCTCCCCGTACCTCTTCTCTCTTGCTTTTATATCTCTAACCCCTCACTCTCTCTTCTCCCTCTCTCTCTTCACATTACCCATCTCTTTCCCTTTACTCTCTCTCCTCCTCTCCCCTCACACTCTCTCTCCTCCCAATTACTATCACTCTATTTTTCTCATCTCTAACCCCTTACTCTCTCTTTTTATGTTTTCTTTTACTCTTACTCTCCTTAAGTATACTCTCTCAGCTACCAATTATTATCTCTCTATTTTTTTTATCTCTAACCCTCACTCTCTCTCTTCATGTTTCCCATCTCTCTCCCATCACTCTTACTCTCCTTAAGTATACATAAAACAGGTGTTTTAGTGGTGTGAAGTTATTGAGAGGAGAGAGATTATCGAAAGGAGAGTGGTATTTGGATAAATACAGAAAAAGATATAGAGGTGTTTGATAAACACAAGAAGAGAGATTTTTTGTGGAGAGCGGTTATTAAAAAGAATGAGAGAGGTGTTTGGATAAACACAGGAGGAGAAAGATGCTTGATGGTGAGAGGTTACCAAGATGAGAGAAAGAAGTATTTGGATTAACACACGAAGAGAGAGGCGTTTGAATAAACACGAGAAGAGAAAGAGGAAGAAAGAGAAAATTTTGGGGTACATAAATGAATAGACATAAGAGATTGGGTTTAGAAAATACATCATTTGTTTAGGTTAAAAAGTAGGTTTAAAGTGGCCAAATGGTAGAAGATATTTTTTGAAACCTTGAATTTATTAAGAGATAAAATCTAAAATAGAGGAAATGGAAATATTTTCTCTAAAAATTAATTAGTGAGATGTATTTTCAACCATCCAATTAAGACCGATATCTAAGAAAAATCTCGAATTGAATCCCAAATTGATGGATTAGTGTGACCTTATCCATGTGGTTATGCACTCTTTGAATATGAATCAATTTTCTAAAGATCTTGTCATGTGGGGGACTCATACAAACTCCATCATAAATTAAAACATGACTCCGTTTGTATGTATTGCCTAATATTTTGTATTTCTTATTTTAATTCAGAGTTATTCTTTAAAAAACGTGAAATTTGTAAAAGTTCTATTATAAGTAGATGTTATATTTAGGACTACTTAAACATCCATTGTTTTTTCATGGCATAAGTTTTAATTAAAAATCACAATTAGAAAATATGACAAAATCGATATAGTAGGACTTCGTCTTATGTATTTCTAAATATTTCAAGTCTGTTAATTTAAATTGGCATCAAATTTGTAAAGAAGAAAAGCATGCTCATAATTTAACATCTTAGTAACTTAGCAAAAAGAAAAGTGAAGATAATAAATTAGTCAAAAATTAAGTGAAAAATAAAAAATTGCAAAATATTTTGCCAAA